TCCCAGGGGATCAACAGGGCGGGTGGAGTGAGCAGGTATGGCTGCCTCTCAGTGTCCCAGCAACTGCTGCAAGTACCTTGGAGAGAAAGCTGACCTCGAGTTCTGACTGATGCCAGACAGTCCCACTTCTCCCGTCTGAGTCTGGGTCCCCAGAGACTCGCCTGGAACTGGAGCCCAGAGCCTGAGACTCCCTCCCGATTGAAACAGACAACCGCGCCCTCACCCGCCAGCCCACTCCACACGCACCTCCGCACCTTTGTATTTTACTTCCGTACCGCGCTTCCTCTGAGTCTCCGTATGCTTTTCTCTTTCCTTCTAGTTGTAGAATTTCCCCTTAGCCTATCTTTCTGTGGTTCTGGGTGATGTTCGTTTCGTCTGTTAGTTGTATTTTTGAAGTGGTTGTGCGAAGCAGCAATCTCCGGTGTTTACCTATGCTGCCATCTTGGTTTCTCCCCTGTCTTCTTTCTTAATACATTTTTCCTGGTTGATTCTTGTATGTGCTCTGACCAGGGATTGAACTTGCAACTTTGGCATATCAGGATGATACACGCTCTAATCAACTGAGCTGCTTGGTCAGAGCCTATGATTATTTCATTAATTGCATAAAAGGTATTTGATAAATGAGCTTTTATTTGATGACATATAAAACTTGATCAAGTTTAATATTCGTATAAAAATAGGATGATGTTTTATAATATAGTGAAGAATAGACTAAAGTTAACAATACACTTAATTGTGAGATACCAGATACATTTATGTATCTAACAAGTATCTATTAAGCACCTACTATGATCTAGGCCAGTGATGGTGAACCTATGACATGTGTGTCAGAGGTGACACGCGAACTCATTTTTTTGGTTGATTTTTCTTTGTGAAATGGCATTTAAATATACAAAATAAATACCAAAAATATGTCTGTTTTACTATGGTGGCAAATAGCTCCCCCCTGTCACGCACAGAGCAAGGCCGATCAAGGGGTTGAGGAGCTCCTCCCTGTCACTCACAGAATAGGGCTGATAGGGGAGTTGGGGCACCGCCCCATGTCACACACAGAGCAGGGCGGATCAGGGGGTTGGGGCACTGCCACTCTCACACTCAGGGCAGGGCCAATGGGGAGGTTATGGCTCTACCCTGTCACCCACAGAGCAGGGCTGATCAGGGGGTTGTTTTCCTGGTCAGTGTGTGTCATAGTGACCAGTCATTCCAGTCTTTCTTCTGTTAGGGTCAGTTTGCATATTACCCTTTTACTATATAGGATAGAGGCCTGGTGCACAGGTGGGGGTTGGCTGGTTTGCCCTGCAGGGTGTCCCGGATCAGGGTGGGGGTTCCGCTTGGGTGCCTGGCCAGCCTGGGTGAGGGGCTGATGGCTGTTTGCAGCTGGTCACACCCCCTTCAGTGTGGGGGTCCCCACTGGGGTACCTGGCCAGTCTGGGTGAGGGGCTGAGGGCTGTTTTCAGGCTGGGGGTGACTGAAGCTCCCAACTGCACTTTTTTTTTTAATGTTTTTTATTCTGGGCCAGCTTTAGCTCTGGCTCCAGCTCTGAGGCCTCCACTGCTGAAAGCAGGTATCTGGTTTGTTTGGGTTCTATAATCGAAACACTGTATCAACTCCAGCTCTGAGATACAGGAGGCTGATAGCAGGTTTCTGGTGTTTTGTTTAGCTTCTATATTTGTAACAATGTTTCAAACTGCAAGCTCATAGGCTGGCAAGGCAGGCGGGGAATGTTGGTTTCCTCCGTCACGGAAGCAAGGAAGCCTCATGTTAGCTTCAAGCAGCCTGGCTGCCGGCCGCCATCTTGGCTGGCAGTTAATTTGCATATCGCCCTGATTAGCCAATGGGAAGGGTAGCGGATGTACGGCTAATTACCATGTTTCTCTTTTATTAGATAGGATGTTAGAAGGTGATGTTTTATTTTTAAAAAACAGTGCAGGGTACTGGGATTGGGTTGGGTAGATTTGCAGTTTCAGGGAGCATTCACAATGAATCTCAATGAGGAGGTGTTATTAGGGCTGACTTGCTTCTTAGGGGAGTAAGCTGCATGAACAGATATTTGGGGAATTACAGCTGTACTTCAGCTAACTGAGAACAGCCAGTGTGAAGACTCCGAGGTAAGGGCTTGCCTGCTGTGTTGAGAATTAGTGAGGAGCTGGTGAGATCATTGAGCAGGAGACAATAGTGGATGAAGTCAGATCAGTTTTTGAGGTCACAGAAGTACTATTTGAGAGATTTATAATCTAAGTCTCCTAACTCCTAGTGGATTGCTTTTTGTTATCCCATGACTTTAAGTCATTTTAGTTTTTCTTACCTGTGGTTGTGGCAGTTGGAAGCAATGAACCAAGCATACATTTAAAGTCCTGTATTTGTATTTGGCAATTGATTATGTGAAAAAGAAAAAAAAGAAAACCTAATATTCTAACAGATAGAATATGTTAAAATATGGTATTCTCACTAAAGTTTGAAAATTAAGAAAGTAAATTTGGTATTAGTATGACTCTCTTTATTCAAGAAAAGTAAATGTTTTCCTCATGCATTTTTTTTTTTTTGCAGCAGTAGACATTCAGAAAATGATTACATATTTATGAGAGTATCTTATAATAATATCTCATTTCTGTAATATCAAGGAGTATTGTGACCAACATGTGTGCATTTTGTGTGACAAGAGCAATGTGCTAGGAGTTGGGAGACTTGGGTTACAAATCTCTCAAATAGTACTTATGTGACCTCATAAATTGATAAAACTTTTAAAATAATTTTTAGAAAACATTTTAAATAGAATTCACCATTAAATGTTTTGATTCAGCCCTAACCGGTTTGGCTTAGTGGATAGAGCGTCAGCCTGTGGACTCAAGGATCCCAGGTTCAATTCTGGTCAAGGGCATGTACCTTGGTTGTGGGCACATCTCCAGTAGGAGTGTGCAGGAGGCAGCTGATCGATGTCTCTGTCATCGATGTTTCTAACTCTCTATCCCTCTCCCTTCCTCTCTGCAAAAAATCAATAAAATATATTTAAAAAAATGTTTTGATTCAGACTTTTACATAATGGGTTGTATTTTTCATTGTTTCTTATGATGTATTTAACTTTGAGTTACCTACTACAAAGTCACCATATTGTTTACTTCTTTCAACACCTGTTCCCTTCTGAAATAGTAATTAATAATGTCCACCTTATAGAATGAACAAGTTAAATAATGTGTGTTAGATGCCGAACACAGGACCTGGCAGATTAGTAAGATTTAAATAAATGTTAATTTTTAAAATAAATTATAATTGTAAAAGAAATATAAAGTTTTTGAGGCTTTTAGGCATTAATTTGAGCACTTTCCTTTTCTTGATCCCATCTCCCCCCCCCCAAGATTTTTTTTTAACTGTTCCTCCCCACAGAAATCTTTAGTAAAAGGCAAAAGAGCTATGCGATATGAAGAGAAACCGGAGTATTCACCTTTCAAATTTTATATGTAGTCTTTCTTCCTTCACTATGTCTCTTCTTCCAGCTAAGGCTTCATCTGTCCATGCTGGGAGTTTTCGAGATCTAATTCTAAGCCTTGCATGTTATTCAGACTTTTCTTTGATGATCAAACCATTTTCATGTAGTATTCTATAGTGATAGATTCCAGGATAATTACAACGTAGCATTATTTGTTTGTGGTCTAAGTGGCTTTAGGCTGTTGTCGTTTTGGGGCTCTTTTGTTGAATTTTTATAGTTTTTAGCTTCCTTCACTGTCAGCTCTCATTACTTGCTGATGTCAGTGCAGTTGTTTGTTTATCTAATTATTTATTTATTTACTAGAGGCCCAGCCCAGTACATGAATTCATGCACCATTGGGGCCCCTCGGCCTGGCCTGCAATTGGGCTGAAACCGGCTCTCTGACATCCCCCAAGGAGTCCCGGATTGTGAGAGGGTACAGGCCAGGCCGGAGGACTCCACAAGTGCGTGATTAGAGCTGGGGAGAGACGAGGGAGGTTGGCCAGCCAGGGAGGGATCATGGGAGGAGGGTTCCAGGGTGTGTCCAGCCTGTTTTGCTCAGTCCCAATCGGCCAGACCCCAGCAGCAAGCTAACCTACCGGTCAGTGTGTCTGCCCCCTGGTGGTCAGTGCAAGTCATAGTGAGCGGTTGAGCAGCCTTAGCATATCATTAGCATATTACACTTTGATTGGTTGAACGGCCAAATGGTCACTTGGCATATTAGGCCTTTATTATATAGGATTAGTTTCTCGTTGCTTCTCATTTTCAGTGTCTAATCTGGTGAATGTTGATTCATTAGAAAATCAAGTTTTATAAAATAATGTCTACGGCAGGAATGAAAAGTATATTTTAGCTTATGTGTTGATTTTGATTGGTAGTAGTTGCCTGGAATGTTGTGTTAAGCAGTATTCGGGAGCTGCATCCAAATTTGATGAGAAAGTGCTCTGATAATAAAATGGGGTGGCAGAACTGGAAATCACATATTTGCCATTTATTGTCTAAAGTAAGAGTAAATAGGCACTGCATGAGAATCTGAGAGGGTGCTATAGTGATTAAAATCCGTAAGTTAGTATGTGGGTTGTGATATGATTTTGACTCTTAGATGCCTTTTGGATTATTGGTTACACTTTTACTTTAGACATTGAGGTTTCCAAATAACTTATCAATGGATAAGTAAAGAAAATGGTTTAAAAGGATTCTGCTTTGCACTATTTAGGTTAACTTTGTTTACTTAGTAATTATGTGATTAAAAATTTAGCCTAAGTATTTTCTTCACTTGATATTTTATCAAAATTGCATACTAAGTAAAATTGCAAATATGTGATTAAAGCACTGGGTGGAAAATACCATATTGTTAATAAGCTTTCACAAAGCGAATTGAATTTCTGTGTACTTCATTATGATGGCAATAAATAAGAATGTATGATTATTAGTTTTTTAGCCATTAATTTGTGAATATATCTGAGGAAGTTTAAATTTTTTAATGAATTATTTCTTCTGTCTTTCTTTTTACACATATCACATATAACTTTTGCAGGTTGGATTTGCTACCATTTTATGCAAGATTGGTTGCTACATTGCATCCCTGCATGTCTGATGTAGCAGAGGATCTTTGTTCCATGCTGAGGGGGGATTTCAGATTTCATGTATGTATTTAAGCATTTATTTTATAATTTACATAGATACATATACTTAAAAGTTGAGTGAGGATTCTTTAGTTTAAGAATATGATTTATTATTGGTAAGCATATTTTTGAAATCTGATAGTGGCCTAACAATTCAGAATCTAAGTCTAAATTTTTTAAATATAAATTTACTCAACAAAGCCTGAAATGATTAAGTGATATTACAATTTGGGGCTGAGCTGCTGCTTTCTTAATTCTCCATTGTAGGTACTGCCCTTTTTGATTTTGTAAAGAGAGAGCCAGCAGGCCTCATTGGTGTTCCCAGAAGAAACATAGGATTGGCCATTACCAGTCAGGGCACAGTGCCTATAAAATGCCTGTTTAGGTATTGGGGGTTCAAATATTTGGGGCATATGAGGTTCCACAGAGGATGTGATTTCAGTGCATGCTGTTGTAGCCCATGTTTTTATTGATTCTTGCCTTAAGAATCTTTACCTTGGTGAATTCTTTAAAAAGTATGCTGGTAAAGTACTAGGGACCTGTTAGCAGACACCTTCCTTCCCTTTCTGGTCCCAGGAATCTTAATAGACTACCAGTTAGTGGTTCTTCAAAACCCATATTACCTAGTCATCTTGTGGAGGTGATAGTTACAAATATAATCCTGAAAAGAGTAAAATGATATGTTAGGGGTGACTGAAAATGAGCATTAGTAGGCTTTGAAAAGACGTGAAATTCAAGTGTTTATGTTGTTAGCCAATGGAAAAATTGTGTTTACAAAATTTAGCTTTATAGTGAGTTACTTGGAATGCAAATAAATGTTTGCTATGCGCAGTATGCACTTTTTATTGCACTTGCTTTACACAATTCACTATTGCTGAGCACTTAGAGAACAATTCCCAAGGTCAGGAATCTTACCTGTAGTTGGGGAGATTAAGCAGATAGTAAGATTAAGCACTCACAGAAGCAAGAGAGAAATAAAAATGTAAACCCTAAATATATTCGATATTATAAGGAATTGCATGTTTAATTGCCAAATGACTCTTTGAGAGTCATTGCCTTGAGTTCAGAGGAAGGAGTGTTAGTGATGGGCTTCTTGTTCTAGGTGTTAATCTATTAATATGATATTTGTAGTTAAGATTTTTCTGGGCCGCTTCTGCTAAAGTATATTTGAGATTTTCATAGTATTAAGTAATGGCACGTTTCTATGTTTAAAGAAGTTTGGAAGCACTGAGATCAAGAAAGTAAAATTATTTTATTTTTGTTTTATTATAAGAAGTCTGAAAGCTTTGATAGGGTAATGTGCATTGTGACCCTTCTGGAGGGAGTTAGATAGGTAGTCACTCAGAGAACACACTTTGATAAATGCTGCTAGTTCAGGGACAGATGCATCAGAATTCATGATATTCTTGTTGATATATTTAATCTCATCATACAAATATGAAACTTTTATTAGCAGATAGTAAGATTGTATTTTATTGAGTTATATGCATACACCCTTAACCAAATTCAAAATTAAAATGCAAGTTGCTACACTAAGCATAATTAGTACTTTTGGTGAGAAACTTAAAATTAAGAAAATTCTATTCATGTATGCTTTCCCTCTCACCTTTAAAAATTGGGGAGAGAGTTTAAGGAACTGGCATTTTTTTGTTACTAGAAAAATATCAGTGTTAGGAATATACTTTGGTAACCACTGCTCTTGGGGGTGAAGGGAGGAGAGAAGAAACACCTACTTTTTCCAAGATCTGTTTGTTTCCTACCCCCAAATCTGCACACTTTGCCAATGACTTTTTATTAGGCTATAAATATGCTTAACACTAATATCCTTAAATGAAAATAAAATAATAGCAACAAGTAAACTTATCTCAAACGATCCCCTCCCCTCATTCTCTTTCATTTTCTTCTTGTTCAAGTTTTTTAAAGTATACTTGTCTCTTCTACTACTGACATTTATCCTTTGTTCTATCATAGCACCCTGGCAGAGACCACCAGTGTCTTCCTAATTGCCTTATGTTAGTCAATATCTCTGCAAATTCTAAACTGCTGGACTCTTCTGCTTTTTAGGAAACTGTCATTCTGGCTCTACCACATGCTAGTGTTGTAACTTTGGCCAAGTTACCTAAGTGTTTGAAACCTCAGTTTCCTTGCCTGTTAAATGGGGATAATAGTTGTATCTTTTAAAACAATTGTTTTTTATGGATTAAATGAGATAATGCATATAAAGTTGATCCCACAGTGCTGGGGCATAGATATCATTATAATAATAATTCTTCTCTGCCACCACTTTCTCCTAGTTCTTACTTATGACTACCATTCTCAATGTCCTTTGCTCTTTTTTCCAGCTGAGTTTATGTGTTGGTGTTCCCCAGACTTTCTTCCTTCACCCTCCTTTTTGACGGAACACATTTTACCTGGGGTTCAGTTAACATCTATTTCCCAGCAACCTCCAATACATATCTCTTGCCAGAACCTCTCTCCTGGTGCTTAGTAAGTTCTCATGTACGTCTAGCTAAATATGTTCATAAACTCATTAATTTCTTCTAAAAAATGTCTTTATCCTTCTCTTCCTTATATCAACTTCTATATTCTCCCTGTAAATTTGTGATATATTTTATCTGATCACTAAGAGAAATACCTCTATTTTTGCCCCTCTGACATTTAGGAGCTAGTGGTCACCAAATTCTGTTGATACTATTTTCTAAAACACCCCCTCAAATTTATGGTCTCCTTTTCATACCCACTGCCACTGCTTTTCATTTTCTAGAGCTTGAAATATGATAATAGCTTTTAAACCAGGTGTCCCCATCTCTGCCTTCTACCTAGCTCCATCATATCACATCTGATTTTATTTGACCCAGCTTAAGAATCTCACCTGAGAAATAAAGCTGGTTAGCAAAACTGTATGAAAAACATATAGTAGTCAAAGAAATTCTAGTATTCTAGTTAAAACATCAGATTTGCTAATTTGACTAGTAGAGTAGTAAAGCTAATAGAAATGAAACCATTCACATATACTATGATTGACATTTGGAGAATGAATTTGGCAATATGTTTCAAAATCCTGAAAGGCATTCATACATTGGACAACTCTGAGAATCTGTCCTAAAAATTCTATATAGCCCCAATGCTGTATTCACATTATGAATTGTAATAGGAAAAAGAAAACAGAAAATAACATAAAAGCTAAACAATGGATTAAGAAAATGATATAGAGCCATTGAAAGTGGTATTTACCAAAAAGTTTTCATCTCATAGAGAAAGCACTTTTAGGGGGGAAAAAGCAAGCTATAAAATCTTATACATAATAAACTTAGTTATGTTAAAATGTATTATCAGTATGTTAGCAGTGACTGTCTTTGAATAGTGAGAAATATTTTTTCTTTTCTAATTCTCTAAATTTTTAGCAGAGTCTGCTTCTTTGATAACGAGGGGACAACTTTTACATAAATATAAACATATCAACCTCACTGATTGACATTTTTTAAAAATTTAAATTTTTTCCCATCACCATTAATCTCCCCTATACCCTATTCCACCTCCACCCCTGCAATCACCACACTGTTGTTTGTAACTGATTGACATTTTTAAAATTAGTGTTCTCTTAGCTTTTTAAGTAAGCCTCTCGGTAAAATAAGTTAACCACATATTCCAATATAGGCATATTTATTTATAAATTAGTATGCCTTTACAATTGTACCAAATATTTTATGTACTTTCTAAATCATATAAAAGTACACTGAAAATTATTATATAAAAACAAAAACATAAATAGAAGTTCTAATACCCCATACCCGAGTAGATCAAGAGTCTTGCCTATCCTACTTTGTAGATTAGTGGTCCACAGAATAAATGTTTTTTTAAAAGGAAAATGTACCTATAGATTTAGTGTCTACTTAGTGTTTAGCCTATAGTAGATTTTCCAAAAAATTACTTGAGTGATTACAAAAATAAAGTTTATATAAAACAAAATGAGCAAGTTATGGTGAATAGAAAGTATAATGTCTACTTAAGATGACGTTTAGGGGTGCGAGTATTCTTTCTATAGGGGAATAATGAATGATAGGCCTTGGAAATTCTTTTTATATGTTGACATATCTGAAGAGTTTTTATTGCATATGAATTTAGTTATTCAGTCTCAGTTTTAGCTGTCAATAAATAAGCTGTAAGCACCATTTTTGCTAAAGATGATTAATTATATAAGTAAAATTTTATGCGACATTGAACTAAAGTATATATAAAAATTAAACGTTAATTCATCTACGTACTTTTGCAGAAGTGTTTTGACATACCTTTTGATCTAAAGGAGTCAGCAAATGAGACTGGAAAATACTGAATGAGGATTCAGAATGAGTTAGTCTTTTTTTATAAGTGACAGTCTTTTGAAAAGCCTTTTTTTTTCATCTGAAAAGGAGGGAATGAGATCATTGATTTCTAATATTTCATTAAAAAATTCTATAATTTTGTTATGTTAGTGAGATTGTATCTCCTTAACCTCAATAATGTTTAAGAGTAATTGTGGAAAATACACTGTTACATGTTTTGAAAGCTGTAATGCTCAGTAATACTTAAAATTGTATGATACTCTACTGCAGTTGTTAAGAGCTTGTGCATCCAGAATCACCCAAGGAGATTTTTAAAAACATATATGTATTTCCCAGCCCTACTCCCCATAAATATTAATGTATCATTTTTGAAATGCTTTTTAATACTTTTTTTATTTCTATATTGTTTTGACTCTAAAATAAACACATGCTCAGTGTTCATGATTAGAAAATATAAACGTATAAAGTAGAAAGAAGGCAGAAAAACCACATAATTTCATCACTTAAAAGTGAATCCCAGTAATATTTTAGAATATTTTCTTTACCTTTATCTCTCCGTAGTTTTTCATGCATGAATTTATATTGTATGTACAATTTTCCATTCTTTATTTCTCACGCAGAAACATTTTACGGTGTCATTTAAAACACTTCTTATACATCATTTTAAAGGTTGTATAATCTTTTGTCCTGTATATTACTTGCTTATTATCAAGTGAAGTGTAGTTATCATTACCGCCACCATCATCATCATCATCCTTATTTTTATCCTTATTTTACCAAGTGAACCAACAGGTTCAGAGGGTTTATGTGAATTATCTAAGATCATATAGCCTCAAAAAATGGCATAGAGTGACCATAAAGGCTGAGCTGTTCTGACCATAGATATTTTTTGTTCTTTCATTTCTGTAATATATGCATAAACATTAAGCATTTTTATTTATTTGTTTACTCAGTAAACATGTAATATCCATGTATTAGTGATAAAAATATACAAATATAGATAAAATTAATAGTAGCTAATAGTTATTGGACTCTTCTTGGTCTTTGTAAGTACTTTTGCATGTGCTGTACATGTACCAATTTCACTTAAGACTCACAGCACCCCTACTAGGCATGTTATTTTTATTATTTCCATTACACAGATGAGGAAATTGAGGCATAGAATTTAAATAACAGCTAGTAAATTATGGAACTTGGATTTAAACCCAGCAAATCTTGCTCAGGATCCACATTTGTAATCTATCCTAGGAGTTCACAAAGTAAGAAAAATTAATAATTTGATCCGATGTATTTGTGAAAGGGTCTTTATGAAGGCTGTACTCTTTTCTAAATTGCAAGGCTAAAACAGTCAATTTTATTCAATATAATTTTGTTTAATATTAGAAACTAGAAACCAAACTAGGTTTGGTTTTCTGATAAAAATGTAATTCTGAGGTTAAATCCGATTACATTTATCTTGAGGTGTCTGTTCACACTGTATTGCTGTAATAGGATTTTGTCATATTCAGTATTTCTTCAAATGTGTGCCTAAGTAGGAGGTTATATTTGCAAAGGACTTGAACTTTAATATATGGCTGTGACTGCTGATAAAAGAGAATAGTTATTATATTGGAAATTTCATTATAATGAATTTATAATAAAAAATGCAATATATAGTTTGTCAATATAATACAGTAACTGAGCCTTAATAATATTTTTGCTTAAATGAGCTTTTGGTGTTCATTATTTATAAAGCAGCATCTCCTAAAGTGTGTTCCTTATGATATTAATATAATGGAATCTTAACTAGTCATTGTTAACATTTCAAAAGGGGGATTTATGTTGCCAAATAAATTTGAGAAACATTTAATTAAGTTAAACAGATTTCTTATTTTGTGATCCTTTTAGCCTTATAAAATGCATTATTTGACTATGGAACTGTTTTTGCAAAGTACATCCTGGCACTGGTATTATACAGAACTTATTTTGCCTTAATGTAAAACAATTTGAATATAGCAGGAAATTATACCAAATTTATTTAAAATATTTAGAGTGAGTTCAGTCTTGTTAAAATAACAGTTCTTACCAGAGATTTCAAAGTGTTAATTATCTAAGCAGTATCTCTTTTAATTTGTAGGTACGAAAAAAGGACCAGATCAATATTGAAACAAAGAACAAAACTGTTCGTTTTATCGGAGAACTAACTAAATTTAAGATGTTCACAAAAAATGATACATTGCATTGTTTAAAGGTTAGTGCTGAATTATTTTTAATAGACAAATTTAAAGTTTTTGTTACAGATGCTAGAAAAAGTGAAATAATTAAGAAATATTTCATTTATACAAAGGAAGGCAAGAAGGGGGTAAAAAGGAACATTAAACAGGTGAGCAAAATAGAAAATAAATAATAGCCTGGCCGGTTTGGCTCAGTGGTTGACCTATGAACCAGGAGGTCACTGTTTGATTCCCGGTCAGGGCACATGTCCTGGTTGTGGGCTAGATTCCCAGTGTGGGGCGTTCAGGTGGCAGGTGATCAGTGATTCTCTCGCATCATTGATGCTTGTCTCTCTCCCTCTCCCTTCCTGTCTGAAATCAGTAAATATATATATGTATTTAAAAAGGCATTTGCTTAAAAAAAAACAAAAAACTCACCACCACCACTATATGCTACCTATAAGAGACATACTCTTTTTTTTTTTTTAATATATTTTTTTTGATTTTTTACAGAGAGGAAGTGAGAGAGATAGAGAGTTAGAAACATCGATGAGAGAGAGACATCGATCAGCTGCCTCAATTTGTATAACTGTAAACCTATTTTGCCCACCCCTTTATAAAAATCAGAAAGACTAAAGTAGAAAGATGGGGGAAATATACCATGGAAGCACTTTTTAAAAAGACACCTGGTTTCATTATTATTAGACAAAGTAGACTTTAAGGCAGGGGTCCTCAAACTTTTTAAACAGGGGGCCAGTTCACTGTCCCTCAGACTGTTGGAGGGCCGGGCTATAGTTTAAAAAAAAACTATATACAAATTCCTGTGCACACTGCACATATCTTATTTTGAAGTAAGAAAAACAAAACGGGAACAAATACAATATTTGTATTTGCATGTGGCCCACGGATCATAGTTTGAGGACCCCTGCTTTAAGGGATGAAGCTGTATTAGAAATAAAGGTTAGTTGGCCCTGGCCTGTGTGGCTCAGTTAGCTGAGTGTTGGCCCATGTACCAAAAGGTCACTAGTTTGATTTCTCACCATGCACATGCTCAGTTGTGGGCTCGATCCCCAGTAGGGGCGAACAGAAGGCAGCCAGTTACATCAGTGTTTCTCTCTTACCCCTGCCCCTTTTCTTCCGCTCTAAAATCAATAAAAACATATTTTTTAAAAAACTAATAAAGAAGGTTAGTTGATAGTGATGAAGAGGTCATTTTAACACGAAATTGTTACTTCCTGAATCAGTATACATCTAATAATGTAGCTTCAAAGTATATAAAGAAACAATTGACAAAAGAAATCCTATCTAATAAAAGAGAAAAATGGTAATTAGCCGTACATCCGCTACCCTTCCCATTGGCTAATCAGGGCGATATGCAAATGACTGCCAGCCAAGATGGTGGCCGGCAGCCAGGAAGCTTGAAGCGAACATGAGGCTTGCTTGCTTCAGTGATAGAGGACTCCAACATTCCCCGCCTGCCGCTGCCAGCTTCTGAGCTTGCTGTTTGAAACATTGTTACGAATATAGAAGCTAAACAAAACACCAGAAACCGGCTTTCAGCCAGCTGAGATCTCAGAGCTGGAGTTGAAACAGTGTTTTGATTATAGGACCCAAACAAACCAGATACCTGCTTTCAGCAGTGGAGGCCTAAGAGCTGGAGCCACGCCTAAGAGCTAAGGCTGGCCAAAAAGAAAAAAAAAGAAAAAAAGG